CCCCCAATCCCCTCCGCCAACCTGTCCGCGGTGCTCATCCTGCGCTCCGTCAGCACCAGGGTGCTCAAGCGCTTCCCCACCGTGGACCACGTGGTGGAGGCGGGTGAGGAGCTTGAAATGTGGGGTGGGTGACAGCTGGGGCCCGTGGATGTGTCCCTGTCACCTGCAGGCTGTGCTGGGGGCTGGGGATCCTTCAAGCATCCCTGTCCCAAACTGCCCCACATATGGGGTGGCATCCTTGCATGGATGCTCACCCCCAAAGAGCCCCACATCCCCTCTCCGAGGGCTGTAGTTTCATCTGGAGAACCCTGCATCCCTGCTGGGGACGGTCCCCAAAAGGCCTCTCCCCCACAGATATGGGGGCCGTGGATCCCACAGATATGGGGGCTGGGGATCCTTGCAAGCATCCCTGTCCCAAAAAGCCCCACAAATGGGGTGGCATCCTTGCATGGATGCTCGACCCCAAAGAGCCCCACATCCCCTCTCCAAGGGCTGTAGTTTCACCTGGAGAACCCCGCATCCCCGCTGGGGACGGTCCCCAAAAGGCCTCTCCCCCACAAACACGGGGGCTGCGGTGCTGAGCCTTCCCCCCGCCGCAGGCTTCATGACGCAGGACGAGCGCAAGAAGTTCGAGAGCCTCCACTCCGACTTCAACAAGTACTGGATCCCCTGCGTGTGGTTCACCAACCTGGCGGCCCAGGCCAGGCGGGACGGCCGCATCCGCGACGACGTGGCCCTCCGCCTGCTCATGGACGTGAGTCGGCACCGGGTGTGTGCGTATGGGGGGGACCGGGCTCCGTGGGGGGGTCACACAACACCAGGGTCACCCGTCCTTGTCCCCTCTGCCCAGGAGCTGAATCTCTACCGGGCCAAGTGCAGCATGTTGTTCCACTACGACTGGATCAGCATCCCCCTGGTGTACACGCAGGTGGGTGAGCCCAGATCCCGGCTCCTTCCGCCCCACAATGGCAGAGGAGCCCCACAGCCTCCTCCCTGCACCCCAACGTGGAGCACTTTACCCCTCTTTTGCTCCCCCATTGAATCTGGTGCCGAATCCGGCACAGCCCGTGGGGATGCGCGGGAGCTGGGGGTGTAAGCGCCAGAGCATCAGCAACCGGCCGAGCCTCGTACATCTCACTGCTCCTGTGCCGAGTGTCCCCCTCCTTGACCCGTGCTCCTGGCAGGTTGTCACCATCGCCGTCTACTCCTTCTTTGCCTTCTGCCTCATCGGGCGGCAGTTCCTGGAGCCGCTGGAGCCAGGGCAGGAGGGGGACCTGGACATGTACGTCCCGCTCTCCACCCTCCTCCAGTTCTTCTTCTACGCCGGCTGGCTGAAGGTGAGATGTGGCCGGGCTTTGCTTTACCACCCATTTCATGCCCTCCATGGGTGGAGCGAGGGATGGAGAGCTCTGTGGGAAGGTGTCCCTGTCCCTTTTCCACCGAGCCCCTTCCCTCCCCAGGTTGCAGAGCAGATCATCAACCCCTTTGGAGAAGATGATGATGACTTTGAGACCAACAAGCTGATAGACAGGAACCTGCAGGTGGGTCCTGCTCCAGGCTGATGCTGTGTGGGGCTGCTGCAATGGGGACATGGGGACATCCCTGCAATGAGGACATGGGGACATCCCTGCAATGGGGACATGGGGACATCCCTGCAATGAGGACATGGGGACAGCCCTGCCCATGCTCTGCCGGCCCCCAGCCCTGCTCCTGGCCACGCAGGTCCTTGTCCAAAGTAGATTCCCATGCAAGGACGCAGGGCTGCTCCTTGTCCCTCCATGTGCTGCTCCCCAACGTCAGATCAGCATCCCCAAGGGACACCCAGCCCAGCACCATTGCTCAACCCCCTCAGCACCAAGAAAAGCATTCAAAAGGGGAAACCAGCACCAAACGCAGCCAGGAGATGTGTCCAGAGCCTCCCCGACCCCTTGCAGAGCCCGGTCGTACCCCTGACACTTTGGCACTGGGAGCAGCATCTGCAGCCATGGGTCCTGCTCATGTTGTCCCAAAGCCACCCCTGTCCCCTGCCCTTGCCGTGCCCAGGTGTCCCTGCTCTCTGTGGATGACATGTACCAAAACCTGCCCCCCGCCACCAAGGACAAGTACTGGAACGAGTCCACGGCTCAGCCCCCATACACCATGGCAAAAAAAACCCACGGCCGCCGAGCCCCTGAAGCCCTCGTTCCTGGGCTCCACCTTCGACATGCGGTGAGTGCACGGAGGAAAAGAGGGTGAGCGCTTCAGGGTGGCAATAGCACAGGCAGGATTTTCCCCTTTGGGCCCAAATTATAGCGAGCAAACAGCAAATCCCCACCCCGGGAGTGCATTGCCCAGCCCCTGGGGGCCGCGCTGGGTGATGGATGAGCCCCTGGGGCAGGGACGTGGCCTCCCGGAGCTGCTCCCTGCTTGGGGTGAGTGGTGCTGGGGATCCCTGCGGAGGATGGCAGCCCGTCCCCATCACCCTGCAGCATGTGTGAGGACGCGGAGCAGAGTCAGGCGATGGAGGCCTCGCCGAGCACGTCGCGCATCCAGACCCCCCTGCTCAGCCGCTTCTTCACCGCCGCGTCCCCCGCCGTCAGCATCAGAAACTTCGGCCGGGGCAGCCGAGGTCACCCCCACCTGCGGCGTCCCCCG